TTGGCCTTGTTTGAGGACAAATAAAGTTTAAGTTGGGGAGAGTTTGATAAGTACAAATTGTAGCTATTTTTGTATATACTTTTCATTGCACTTATTGAACTTTTTGTTTGTTAATATTGTTGAATAATCCTGACTTTTGTGTAAAATCATTTAGTTTATGTTTAGTTGTGTTTTTGTATACATATTTTATCTTTTGATATTTTTCTATTCATTTTATAGGTATTGACACGTATTTGGAGCATGAGCAATAAAGTGTCGAAGACACGACTTCAAACGCGCGATTTTGAGCAACTCGTCAATGAATAAGGCTCAAAATCAAAAAATAGTAAATCAGCAATTTGGTTTATATTTTGTCATTTTTAAAAAGAGAATTGAATAAGCTTTCCACCGCTCTGAATCGGGTGCAAATCGGAGTTACGGTTCAAAAGTTATGGCCGAAACAGTGCAGAATGCTGTGCTGGTTTTTCAACTTTCTGTCATCCATCGTCGGGCGACGCTTTTGGTCGTCGGACGATGCTAGGCGAGTTGTAGCATGGGGAAAATTCTATTTTGGTCGTCGGGCGACGCTTTTTGGTCGTCGGGCGATGCTGGACAGTCAGAAATGCGTGTTTAGGTGTAAAAACACAATTTTTGGGTATGGTTTTGGGTATTTTTGATTCCAACTCCATCAACCTTCATTTTTGGATAGGATTAGCTTAGAAAAAAACATCGGCGCTTGCATACGGATGATCCGGGATGAAATACTCATCAATCGGCACTGACAAACCGGGAGATTTATGGTTCATTTCTCTTCCTCTTTGTGTATTCTTTATGTGATGAGTTTGTACATGTATTTACTCTGAACTCATGTATATTTGTCTCCCATGACATTATATTAAACTTGCTTTACAAATATTTGTCGATTATTATCTTAGATTTTTGCTCTTGTTAAGGATTTGAGTTGTTATAGACATATACTGCTTAGATTCTTATCTAAGATGACTATCTGTTAGTTTCTTAACTCTAGAGATTTATTTAGAGCTGACATCTACTTGAGTATCAGAGCTTAATGTCTCTATGTGGTTGTGATGTACTGAGAGATCGTCAGTGCGATTACATAGTTGTCTTATGTGTTATTGAGGAGGTAGAGAGATCATTACCTTGATGATACAATCGGTCTCTCAATTTGGGTTAGAAATGACTTAGATTGTGAGTGATACGTAGTGATATTGATGAGTATTATTAGGTTGAATGTAAATGGTCGATAGATTTAAGTCTGTGATGAGTAGATTATATGCAGGCTTGCTAAGTTCTTCCTTAGTTTTTACTTTTGTTTACATTTATTTTCTATTGATAACATTTTCTTTACAAACTCATTTATCCCCAAACTCATTAACGAGAGATTTGTCGAACGACAATTCAATAACCAATCTCTGTGGACACGATAAATTCCCGGATAAATATTTCTAAAACTTTTGTTGTTTGCCGATACACCGCTCCAACACACGAAAACTATTTTTGTATGTAAACTCAATCAACAGCAAGTGGTTGTCCCAAGCATCTCCTTGTTCTAACACACATGCTCTCAGCAAATCCTCAAAATACTGAATAGTCCTCTTTATTTGATCGTCCGTCTGTGGTTGATATGCGGAACTCAACCTCAACTTAGTCCCAAAAACATTCTACAAACCTTTCCTAAATTTAGACGTAAACCTCGGATATCTATCTGACACGATACTCGAAGGTATCCCATACAATTTCACAATCTCTTTAATATACATCTCAACTAGGTTCTCTATAGAATGATTGATCTTCATCGATAAGAAATGAGCCAACTAAGTTTAATATACATCTCATTATTTTCATTCTATATCTCATTATTTCTTTCACTCAAAGTGTCTCACACACTTACAAGATGTCAGTCATAAAACAAATGTACAATATTATTTAAGTAGTCTAGAATCCTTTCACTTATATATATATATATATATATATATATATATATATATATATATATATATATATATATATATATATATATTCTGTCTTCAATCTAAACAATTAAGTTAATTAAAATTTAATCGATTTTTTTATTTTAGTTTCCATTGATTTGCATTTAACAAACCATGATGAATCACGGTTTATGCATGTGTACATGTGCTTAAAAAAATTTCATGGATTCCCTTCATGCATCTAACCATAAATTTGACTTCTTTCAAGTATATTTTAAGTAGCCACAACTTCAAGAACAAAACACACACACGAAGTATTTTTAGTGTTAAGGTTTATTAAAATCTACATGTTATGAGAACTTAAACACGAGTGAAGTAACACTAACTTTGTTTTAAATAATCAAGTGAGGATATAAAATATTCAATATTTATTATTAAGTATATCAAAATGCTATTGTACTTTTGAGAAACTTTGAACGACAAGTTTGAAAATTTAATTATCCAAAGTCTATTTCTTGTAATAAATATTAACTTATTTCTGTACAATTTGTCAAAATAATTATGGAAGGGACATTGACTCATTCATTGGTTGGGAAGTCAGAAATAGTGTCTGTATCTAGTCACATAATCAAATGCAATTTAGTAGTACAAATTGTACCATTATGTTAAGATTTAAGATATTAGATACCACTACCATACAAGAATCTCTTCCACTGTAGGTTGAATCATTAAGAAACTCCCAAAAGTTTCACATTAGACTAAAACACAATTATGCAAAGAGAAATTCATATTACATTGTAATTAAAAATCTTAGTGTTGGTATATTGTTTCTCTCATTTATATAGGTCAATACATTAGACGACTCAATAGATCAGATATTAATAGTAGAAAAAACAATTACAACATCAAGAAGAAGAAATAAACTTTAAACAAAATTGCAAAGAGTTATTATCTTGTAGTACAATCTTGAATACAGACTTTAATGGATAACAAAGATAAAAAAAGTTTATACTACATGATAAGTTATTATCATCCAAGCTTGAACACCAAATCTATTAAAATTAAAACTAAAAAAAGGTAATTAACATTTAACTTTGAACAAAATGCATCACCTTAAAACAAGGTATCTGTAGCATAAAGTTGTATACTTGCCACCAATAAAAAAATTATACACTTACAGCAAAATACTTGTAGCATAAAGTCTTTTACAAATAAGATTAATTACTCTCTGAAAAGCACATTGGTGTAAAGTTGCTTATGCCACATTATTATAGAGAAGGACAAGCAAATAACACACAAATGAAGTTATGTTTCAATTACATCCTACTCCTAAATGAAGTAATGTTTCAAATTTATACTAAGACAATAACACAGTATAATCTTTCATGATATCTTAAACTTAAAATAAGTATATCTTTTTATTATGAAAGAAATCAATAATAGTAAAATAGGATAATAGTTACAATTCAAAAGAAACTATTGAAACTTGTTGAATTTGCCACAAGCACGTCTTGTCGGTTAAATTCAAATCAGTCTTGGGAAAATCAAAAGTCAGATTCTCTTAGGTAGTGGGAAATTTATTTCTTAGGAACCTAGACATAATTATTGCTGTAAACTCTTTCTATTCTATATTGTGATCCTATATAAATCACATTGTATCTCATATTGAAAGTTAGTTGGACAAATTTATAAAGAAAAGAAAGTTTCTAGTCCACTCTCATTCTCTTCATATTTCTTCAAATTTGTATCAGAGCGCATGACAAATATGATGGGTCAGATGCCACTGCCGCGACTTTCAAAGTCAAACTATGAAAATTGGAGTATCCAAATGAAGGCGCTGCTGGGATCGTTAGATGTATGGGAAGTGACTAACGATGAATTTGAAGAACCATCAAATACGACGACATACACAGCTGCTCAGAACAAGGCGTTGAAAGAAACGCGAGCAAGGGACAAAACAACATTGTACATGCTGTTCAGAGCAGTTGATGAATCATCCTTCAAAAATATTACTGGTTCGACTACATCAAAGGAGGCGTGGGACACGCTAGAAAAGGCCTTCAGAGGAGCAGATAGAGTCAAGCAAGTTCGCTTGCAAACTCTTCGAGGAGAAATGGAGAGAATGAAGATGAAGGAGACAAAGTCCGTATCAGACTACATTACTTGTGTGCAGATGGTGGCAAATCAACTCAATCGAAATGGAGAAGCAACGTTTGATGCTCTTATTGTCGAAAGATTCTGAGATCTTTGACAAACAAGTTTTAAAACATAGTATGCGCAATAGAAGATGCGAAGAACCTTTCAACAATCACTGTCGAAGAAGTCGCTGGTTCGCTTGAGGCACATAAACAACGCAAAATAAAGAAGAAGGAGGAGGCACTTGAGGATGCAGAACCCAACAGAGATGAAAAGATACTTTTCTCTCAAAATTGGCGTGGGAGAGGACATGGTCGTGGAGGACGTAATGGCGGTCGAAGTTACCAAAATAACAACTTCGACAGAGGACAATCAAGCCAACATCGAATGTTACAAATGCAACAAACAGAGGCACTATGTGAATTATTGTAACTCCTACAGTTGCTAAAACTGTGATAAAACGGGACATCTTGCAAAAGATTGTCGATCCAGAAGAAAGGTTGAAGAAACAACAAATATTGCCCTAGAAACAGAATCGAATGAAGGATTTCTATTAATGACTCAAAAGGAAGCAGATGCAGAAAATAACACTATGTGGTACCTGGACTCAGGAGAAAGCAACCATGGATGAAAATGGTCCTAATAACTTCCCTTTTCATGGATGAAAATGGTCCTAATACCTCAACAAAAAGCACTACCCCAGACACCAAGAAATCGAAAGCATCGAAGGTATCATTCGAAATGTTATCTACTTTTTGTATTGTATTACTTTTCTAATAGTAATACCCTTTCAGGCTAGTCAATTACCTCCAAAATCACCACACAAAATAAAGTCTACCCATGACATTCCAGTAGAGGTCGAAGATGATGAAGATATCCCCCCTACTCCTTTGAAAACTAAGAAGTCAAAGAAGAAGAAGGCAAAAAATTCTGATGCAGCCTCTTCGCAGCCAACTAAATAAAAGCCTAAGCTCACTATACTTCCCCCAAAGCCCAAATAGAAAAAACACGTCTCAACCATCTGGAGGCTTTGTCCTAGAGTGGGTCAAAAGTGATAACTCAAGTCCTGATGGACTAAAGTCATAACTTTTATTTGTTATACTTCTTCGATCACCATTATTCTTTATTCAAATTAATGTTTCATTTTATTTTGCAGGAAAATCAACCAACTCTTACTGAGTCTCCAACCAAGCACAATATTCTTCCTGATGGTGGTACTACCTCGTACCATCCCTTATCTAGTGACAAACAATTTAGCAAAGGGTCTTCGTCTACAATTAACAAACTTGATGCAACCGTACCATTGGAAAAGGAGACCATTCCCCAAACTAAGAATGACCCGAAGATACATCAAGGGACCAAGAAGGCTAGTGATGATGAAGGAAAGAAGGATGATAGCCCTAGTGACTCTTCACCAAAAAATATTAAATTTGTTGATGATCTTCTTGATGATGAGGAACCTCTTACTGATGATGAAATTGCACAATTCTTCGTTGAAGATGAAGAAGTAGTAGCAGAAGAAGAAGAAGAAGAAGAAGAAGAAGAAGAAGAAACTCAAGAAGAAGAATACAAGGAAATTCACACTATGCTAGCTCCCAAGATAAAATTACTTATGCAAATCAAAAAAATCAAAGCAATACCTCAACAGAGCTCTCTCAAGAAACACTGGATGCTTTGAAGAAGAATAAGCCTCTTGAGTATGTAAGGCTAATGATGGCGAAAAGGGTATCATTCACTCAAAAGACTTGCCCTTGTCCATCTGCAACTTCGAGTGAGAGTTCCAAAGTTAAAACTAATGAACCACTTCTCCAGAAAATCAAAGAGAAAATATTTGAAGCTGATTTGTTTGAAGTCTTGAAGGATAATGCCACTGCAAGCGTTGTACTAAAGAAGTTAATAAACCAAATTGACATAGTCACCTATCCTTCTGAGATTGATGAAATACTGATGGATGTGACTACTTTGATTAACACAATCAGCGCATATTTCCTTAGGGAATAAGATGTAGCTTCAAAAATTCAAGAAAAACAAACTCTTCAGGAGACTGAATGGTTGAAAGATCTTGACTCAACCAACAATGCTGAGAAAGTTGGCAAATATTTTAACAACGCCAAAGAGGAGTTCGAGACCAATGTTCTCTCTATCTTTTTCTGGAAAGAACAGATCAAGGATTTGAAAGAAAAGATTTCTCAGACTGAAGCACTCCAAAAATTCATTGAACAGGTGGATCATACTAAAATGGAGCTTGAAATTTCTCAAAGCGTGCAACATGTGGATGCAACCAAAAAACTTGAAGATGAAATAGTTTCTCTTCATGCTACTAAATCGTCTATTGACTGCATGCTAAAACTAGTGAAGACCAAGTATGACATGATGAGAGTGAACTTGCATTTCTAAATCTGCTGAAAACCGTGATGTATTGTTTTTTTTTTGTGTTTTATGCACTTTTTCTTATCTAATTTCAAGACAAGGCCATTTTGGCACTTTATGACACCATGTTGGCCTTTATTTTATTACATTTACTTTTCTGTCGAAATCTTTAGTTCTTGAAGGGTAGGTTTATATATTTTTAAGTATTTTCCATTTATCTTCAAGACTCTTCGGTCCTATTTCAACTCTTCTATTTCATAAGCATTATTTGTGAATGTTTGAATAATTCTAAAAGGTCATTCCCAACGTGGAGACCATTTTCCTAACAACTTATTCTTCATATCCATTGGTAATATTACCTTCCACACTAAATCATCATTTTAAAAGACTTTGCTTCTGAATCTTTTATTGTATGCTCTAGCTATTATTTCTTGTTGTCTTCTCAAGTCCCCCAAATCATGTAGCCTTTCTTCGTCCAAATCAACTAGTTCATTCATCATCATTTTCTAATAATAATCAGAAGGAATTTCATTCTGCCTCTGAATTCTCACTGACTGTAAATATATCTCCATTGGCAGAACTGTATCATGCCCAAAAGCCAAACGGAATGGGGTTGTGTTTGTTGCTTCTTTTGGAGATGTTCGACAAGCCCACAAAGCTTGATCTAAAGTCTTATTCCAATTCTTTGGGTTTTTCCCTACATGTCTTTTTATTAAACCAATAATTACCTTGTTTGCGGCTTCGACTTGTCCATTCGCCTGAGCATAATAGGGTGTTTAAGTCAATAATTTGAATCCCATTTCCTTAGTGAATTCCTGCATCTTTCGACTGGTGAAGGCTGGTCCTTGATCAGTTGTAATTGTTTCTGGGATTCCAAATCTATAGATTTTGTGCCTTTGAATAAATTCGATAATACTCTCTTGACCCATATTTGCCAAAGGTATTGCTTCAATCCATTTTGAAAAATAATAAATCCCTACTAGGATGTATCTATGTCCTTTGGATGAAGCTGGTCGAATATCTCCTACCAAATCTAATGCCCAACCTCTAAAGGGTTATGTTTTAATGATCGAATGCAATTCACTTGTAGGAATATGTTGAATACATGTATCAACTTGACATTCTCGGCATCCCTTGGAAAATTCTATGCAATCTTTCAGCATGGAGGGTCAATACATGCCATAATGGAACAAAAGCCACTTCATCTTATGACCTGCTTGATGTGCTCCACATGCCCCGCCATGTACATTCGACAACGCCAAGTGTTGTACCCCAAAATTTGCCCTCCTCTTTTTCCACAAGAAATCACAGCTTCGGGCTTTTCCTGATTTTTTAGACTGGTTCAAGAATCGGTCAAACAGACTTTTCTCGTCAGTCAGACAAAATTAGGGTTTTCATGGCTCTGGAACAGTTCACACAGTTTGCTTAGGGTTTGGTTGATTTTGGCTCAGGAATCGGTCAAACAGACTTTTCTCGTCAGTCAGACAAAATTTAGGGTTTTCATTGATTTTTAAGCAGTTCAGGCTGATTGCTTAGGGTTTGGTTGAATTGGCTCAAAGTTTGATCAGGCAAGCGCTTCTGTGAAAATTAAGACAAGAATCAGGGTTTTGTGCGCGCAAAAAGAATTAATCCTACAGTTCTATTCAGTTTACTCTGAGTTTTGGATTGGGGCATTTGAATCAAGAATTTGCAGGTTGTTGTTTAATCAGTAAAGGCTAAGGCATTTGATTTGAGATGAGATAAATGCTGAGGTACTTAAATTGAGAATCTACAGTGTTTGATTTGATCAGTAAAAAGATAAATATCTGGATATTGGTTTGATTAACTGTGCATTGGATATTTGAAGCGCCAGGTTTATTATTGATTCAATGACAAGGCCACAATGTTTATTAATTATTTTTCTAAGTCAGAATAATTGGATACTTCCGGTTATTTTAATTTAAGAAATTCAAAATAATTAAATGAACATTGAGTTGAAAGAAGAATTAACTGATAGAAAGGATGTTTATTCACTTTGAATTGTTTGTTACAGATATTATTTAAATACTGTTAATTTATTTACAGTTATTTAATAATATTATTACAAATAATTGAAATGGAAATAAAACTATCCTAAGAAAATTCCTAAGTCTTCATCTTCTACTGCTCCTCCTCTTTTGCTCCATTTGATGTTTATCTGCAAAACAAAGAAAAGAAAGAAAAGTCAAAGCAGATAAAATAATTAAAGGTAGACAGTTAAAATTCATCATTAAAGGAAACTGACCGGAATCAGTTTGCCCTCTTTGCAAATCACGAGATTTCTCCCGGTTCACAAAGAGGGGTGAAAAATGCTTGCAAAAGAAAAAGACATGAAATGCACAAAAGTTATAATTTTGCACAAAGTTCAAATTGTCAACCAACTGCATAGTTTCCAACCAAACTGAATGACCTAAACCAAGTCAAAAGGGCAAACTGAAGGAAACTATCAAAGCTGTCAAAAAGATATCAAGACATCAAAGTACAAAAGGCTATCAAAAGGGCTATCACAAAGATGCAGGAAAGCTGGAGAAAGAGATAAAGTATGCAGAGTAAACCAATATTGCAAGCAAGAAAGTTTCAATGTCATCATGTTCAGGCCAGCTACCTTTTCAGTAAAGGACAATATAAGCAATATTAAATGCTTAAAAACTGTCAAGAGAGAGGAGAGAGAGAGTGAAAGAAGGAGGCTTACAGGGCTCAGGCTTTAGGCAAGAAAAGATATAAAACAAAACTGTAATAACACAGTAAAGGAGAGGGCAGGTTACATAACCAAGATAACACAAATCAAAAGGAGAGGACCACAAAACTGTAAAAAAAAAGCTGCCTCCACCCTGCCTCATAAAAACTGAAAACTCAGTTCATATGAAAAACAAAAAAAAAAACCATTCAAAACCTTCACAAGTAAACCGGCATTCAAAAGCCAAACCTGCATAAGCCTTTGCTTCTAAACACCAAAAGCCTTACCTGCTGCAAAGAAACCAATTCAAAGCCTTAAAACCCCTCTTTCAAAAACCTACATAGGCCTTTGCCTAAAAACAGCATAAGCCTAAACTGGTTCAAGCCTATCAAACACATAACCTGTGTTAAACCTTAAAAGCCCTCTTTCAAAAACCTGCATAAGCCTTTGCCTCTAAACAACATAAGCCATTAAACCTGTCAAACCTGCCTGAACGTTTCAAAGCCTTACCTAATTCAAATATTCAAGGCCTTTCAAGCCTTACATCAACCAAAACACAAATTCACAACACAAGCCTCAAACAAACTCAAGCCTTACCATTCAAAGCATCAACCTGTCTAAGCCCTCAAACCCTTCAAATTGAAGCCCAAGCTCTCAGAACTCAAAGAGTTCATCATCGAGGCAACCAAACAACCAAACCTATCAAGCTTTAAAAAAAAAACAACTCAAAACATTCGAACCAACACAAACCCTCATAACATTGTCATCACCGGGTTAATCATCAAGGCAACTCAAACATAACATCAACAAGCATACCAAATATCCAATCATACAGCAGCAGAAGGCAACAAGAAGAAGAGGATAAAGAAGCCAATAGGGTCAAGCATACGAGGCAACTGAGGCACAGGGTGGAAGAGGCAAAGTAATAACTCAGGATAAGCAAGCATACGAGGCAAAGAGGCCCTCAGAGGAAGCCTCATCACAGGGAAAGCATACAAGGCATCAAGGCATCAAGCTAGAATACGAGGCAACAAAGAGAAGAAGATAAAGAAGTTCGTTTTTAGCATGCATCATTAAACAACAAAAAAGGCAAAAATACTGAGTACCAGGGAAGCCTCCCCAAAGCTCACAGCTTCATCACGTTTCTCCGTCCTTGGCCGCCTAGTACGCCACCATCCATTCCTTTTCCTCCCCAAAGGTACATTTCTTTCCCTTTTTTTTTTCCTTCAAAACCTCATATAAACAGAATTTAATCATGATGTAAGAATCGAAACAAGGAAACGTTAAAAGCATGCATAAATTTAAAACCCTAAAGATTGAAAGAGCATAATCGTTACCTCTTGGCCAACGTCTACGTAACCGTGAAAGGGAAGAGAAGGAGGCGGCGCCTCTGACAACGGGGACGGAGAAACTCAGAGGCTATGGCGTGAGAAGACGAAGGAAGATGAAGGAAGACGAGCGCCGTTCGTAACTCACAAACCCTAAATCCCTTTCTGAACGAAACATCAAAACCCTTGCAAAATAATTTGTGTCAAAACAATGGGCCTTGCCCTCTTGAACGCCTTAAGCCCATTACATTTTCACGCCTTGCACCCTCCCATTCTGTTTCTCAG